ATCAATTAATTTGGCTCCTACCTCTCTCCCTCCCCATAGTTTCCAAGATAGGATAGGCTGAAGTTGGAGAGAGACTTAAAAGGGGAATATCAGGTGTGCAATTGTTATTCATAAAAAGTCTAGTAAATTCTTCATTTTGGGTTGGAACTTATTTCCTTCCCACTTCTACTATTGCTGACTTCTCTAAAAAAACCACAAAACAAAACAAAAATCCCCAACAAAAAGCTACAGGAGTAAATTGCTAAACTCTCAGTAATAAGGAAGACCAACATTAAGATTTTCTATGCAGCCTTAGTTACAAGCTCTTGTGCATATTCATTATGATGCCATTACTCCTTATGTAACTGAAAGCTGTGTTTTGTACACAGAACTTCCCCTTTTTTCTTTTAGCAACCTTGCAGAGAGTAGCAGAGAGTTATTTAAGGACTCAAAAGGAAGTCCACAGAGGGTTTCTTTCACCGGGTAAAGAAGCTGTGCAGTCATTAACAGTGAAGGAGTGCTGCTGAGATCCAGGACCCAGAACCTCTCCTGTCCTTGCCACAGAGTCCTACTATTGCCTGAAGCAAATAATTAGTAACCTTCCTAAAGGTTGCTTGTGATGTTATTACTTCTTGTCCTATTAGGAGCACAGGGAAGATCAGCCATTATTGTTTACAAGTTGCTCAAGAGAGTTCACCGCCTTTATCCCCGAGTGCAGAGCCTGGATGATACATGGTGGGCAAGACATGCGAACATGATAAATAGCCAAAAAAGGAAAAAAGGCTGAACTTTCATCTCATGTCATGTTTGTTATCACTGAACACTGAATAAGGCAGGCTCTAAGGATAAACAGTATCCACTAATGTCATAAAACATTTTGTCAAAATGCAGACACAAAAGTTGCTGAATTAGCACTGGCTTTTCATAGATTTGGCATCTCTGGAGTTGCAGCAAAGCTCTTTGAACATAGAAAATTCTGTGATGTGTGCTGTGCCAAATGCTCCTGTCACTAAAAGCAGCTTCAGTTTGCAAGTGTTGTGCAAAGTGCCTGAAGCTGGCTGCAGAGTAACGGTGAAAAAGTCTGTCTTTTAAATGGCCATTTGCTGCCCGTGAAATGGTAGGAAAACAGTTCTTTCCTGTGCCTTCAATAACAACTTCCATGCTCCTTCTTCCTTTGCAAAGATTACTCTCCACCAAAAGTGCAAAGAGGCTGAGGAACACTCTAGGGAGAGAATGGCTTCTGGTTTGTCACTGAACGTGCAGATTTTAATTCACAGCGTACTCTTGTTGTGGCTTAAAACTTAACCGGAGTGGAAAGATAAATACGAAGCAACCACAGCTTACTTTCTGCAGTTTCTGTCCAGGCAAAATAAAGAGTCTATTCTATTTTGTATCGTAAACTTTTAATTTTTTTCAGTGTATGCAGCAAGAAAGAACAAACAACTTGTGTAAAAGTCTTCAATTCCCCATTCTGATTCTCTGTTCATTTGATGCAGTGTGATCAGCAGCACCATTTCTTGCAATTAAGACTTGTGATTCAGCCAAAAAAACAATTAATTTGATTTTCAGTGTAATAACACATTTTTCATTTAGATTTCCACAAGTTTTTGTATCTGAAAATGTTAGCAAATGTCTCGGTAAGTAAGAGCTAAACAAGACACTTAACTGCTGTAGCATTTTAGAAACCTTTTAATATAAATAAATATGTTTCTGGCAAACCAGTGCTGTATTCACACTTCCCCTTTGACTGTAGAACTGAACATTTTTTTTCTTGATGCATATTGACATAAAAGACATTTTCGTTGCGCAGTATGAGCTGAAGCCTATAGCTGATACATTTGAATCCCTTTGATTACTTTTGACACCCATCTAGCGGACACAATACAGTATTACAGGATAAAATTCCTGTCACAACAGCCACGTGCAAGTCTTGCACATACATGTAGTTACCTAGTGATGCAAACCACAGGGCCTCTCCCAGCTGATGAAAATGCAGTTTTATCTAATAGACTTTTAAATTTTAAAAATTCACTATGTTATAATCTGACAGTGAAATCATTCATAGAAGCCTGCCTTAGTTTCTGACTGGGAGAAATAGGACTGGTAATAAAATATTCATATCATGTCCACAAAAGGTGGGTGAAAAAAATAAAACAAATCTGCAAACAAACCCATACATTTCTATAATCTAATAAAATACCTTTTAATCAGTTGAATAATTAAGTCCACTGTTAAAGGAATCAATTTATAGTCACTCCTTATTCCAAATTTTCCTGCTGTGAGACAGACTTACATTTGACTTCATTTATTTCTATCCCACTTTTATCTTTTGCCTTAGAGCTTTCAGACAAGCTTATATTTATTTGAAATGATACTGTCATTGTGGAAGTTAGTCTTATTGAGCACAGGAGTAAACAATCTTCTTCTATTTTACCTAAAATTGCATGAAAGGTCTGCCCTCCTGTCCTCCATAGAAAAACAAAGCATACAGACTGTGTATTGTTTAGGAGTCTGTGTGTTCTTGCAGCTGTTAAAAGAAAAAAGTTATTTTATGTAGGTGATGAAATAGAAGTGCGAGGAAATTTGGATATGATGAGCTCACAGATGTTCCAAACCCTTCACTGGCATTGTGAGCATTTTGTACTCCTGGAACATTCAGGAATTCAAACTCAAAAGATATTGATTGCTAGTGAATAATAGTATTCATGCTAGTAGTAATGGCAATATGGTTATTAACTTATGGTACTATAAGCTGCAAAGAATGTTTTACTGTCGCATTCAGACTATCTTGCCCTTTCTAATATTTTTTTCAAAGTTTTTTTGTGAGTAGATCTCACAATGATCACAAAGATGCAATGAATAGGGAAAATTAAATGCAAAGAGGATCTTTGCATCGTCCAAGATCACCCAGCAGGCTGGTGGCAGAAAAGAAATTATTAAATGTCTTTAATAAAATTTATTTGATAAATTTAATAAATTTATTAAATAAAAAAGGCATTTATTTGATGTCTTACCGATTAAGCTTTGTTAGCTTGAGATTGATAATGTCATGTAGCAGCAGCACATTTGAGGACAAAGAAAAAGTATTCAGGCATAATCAAAAGAAATCAAATTTGGGAAGAACTGTATGTGTAAGGATTTACTGATAGTGAGTTGTTCTGAAAACTACAGTGAAAAGAGGATTAAATTGCTAAGCTCTCTTGAAGTTTGTTTAATACCATTTTCTGGATAGTTTTTCTGGAAAAAAAAAAATTGCTTTTCTACATTCAGATTGTGAAAGGTGAATAAAAAAATAAATAATGTAGTCTGAGAGTGGCAGAAAGCTTGCAGTTCCAGGAATATGTGCAAAGTAACATGAAACCAAGGTCCATTCTTTCCCAGGCAATGCACATCTCTGTCAGAATAGGCAATATATGTTTCTTTGATTAGTTCATTTAACAAAGAAAAACAGGCCATGGGAATGCTGTCACTTCAGTAAAATATTAAAGTGGCAACCTCACTGCAACCTCAGGTCAATGGTAGATAACAGCAAGAAACAAGCTAGTGCGGAGAGTAGCATGTACGTGCTGTGACACCTGCGCCAGGCTGAAGTCTAATCAACAGATGACATGTACTATTTTCTCTTCCACTGTCATTAGATATAATTGAAAACCGGTGGGTGTCCTTCACATGAACACTGTTTTCAAAATGAGTACTTTAGATGCTTTCATTACAAATACATATCATGATGCTAACACTTAATCCATGTTTAAAAAATCATGTGGAAGATCCTCTATTCATCCCTCATTCCTAAATGCTTTAGCAGTATTATTTAAGTTCCCATTAGTATGGCAAATGAGCTTATATTAGTATAAGCCAAAGTCTCATGCACACCTTTCCTACTATGCTGTAAAACTAAATTTGACCTTTGGTTTTAGAGACACAACCAACTAGGGAAACAAAAGCCATCTTCCACTTCTGGCTGGATAAAATGTGCTCCATCCCATCACATGGAGACATAATCTTACTAATCCTGACATTTGTGACCTCTGAGATTGCACGCCACAACACATCAAGTCTAACAATGGAGCCGCATGGTCCAAAAAGACTCCATAAAGTACAAAACACAGGTGTCAGGCTGCTAAGCAGCACGGGTTGCCGTGAGCATGTCCTCCCAGCACTGCCCACCCTGTGCTAGTTTCTAATGGATTGCAGACTCCCATTCAAGGTCTTTGCACTGATTTTCAAAGCCCTTTGTGGAAACGTCACAGGCTATGTGAAAGAGCATCTTCTCCCTCCTCTTTCTTTCTCTCCCCTCACACTTTTGCGTCTCATGACAGCAGTGATAAGCCTGTTTACCACTTTTAATAACAAATACAACAGCTAGCAGTGCTGGGTCTAAACTGTGTAGTTCAAAGACACGAATAGCCACAGAAGTTGCGCTGCTTGGCAGTGAGCAAAGAACTCATTTCTTCGATCTTGTTGTAAAATAGCAACTCTAATGCATGCAAACGTGCCCAAGCACACAGATACACCTCAATCCCAACCCAGCGCTTTATTTATTTGAATAAGACAAAATATGTTCTTGAAATATTTGGGTAGTAATGAAGGGTAATTAGGGTTGAGTACTTGATAACAAAAGAGCCCTCAACTGCCTCAACAGTGGGAGACAGGAAGATGAGGGTCCAGCTCAGGAGAGATGGTGCCTGAGGGAGAAAATCATGAAACATGATGTTTCCTCAGGTATAGAGCTCACGGATACTCTACATAGAGAGAAGCATAAGGCTTCCTGTAGTCTAATAGTGTTTCCTTTCTCCACCAACTTCTTTTCCTTCAGACTTGTTCTTTTTGATTATCAGCAATTTTAAAGCATATTTCTTGTGTGTCTTGTTTTTTGGTTTAGTAGTGGAATTGACCAGATCTTTATTTCCCCATTGTTATGAAGAAGCAATTACCTAGTAATAAATTTGTCAGAAGAGTGTTTATTATTTTCAAAATTCTTATGTCAATGGCATTAATCTTTTTCTCCTTTCTTTTTGCAGTTTTGATGTAGACAATGGTACGTCATCGGGACGGAGTCCCTTGGATCCCATGACGAGCCCTGGATCAGGGCTAATTCTTCAGGCAAATTTTGTCCACAGTCAACGTAGGGAGTCTTTCCTTTACCGGTCAGACAGTGACTATGACCTTTCTCCAAAGTCCATGTCCAGGAACTCCTCCATTGCCAGTGATATGTAAGTACATTATAAAATACTTTTAGCCTATGTTTTGTCTTCTGTCTTAAGATTTTTCCAGCCACAAGAAATTTCTTTCAAAAATCAAAGGCAGTAATCACTTATGCTACTGAAGTCATGGATAATTGTTTATTTCTTTAATGAAGCTTGTACTTGTTTCTGCAGTTTTCTGAAAGTAAGGATATCATGAGAGTGTACTTAATGTGTTTATGCACTTTATTAGCTTTGACAGAATAATGAAGACAGTCAATACTGGTGTATCAAAGCACTAAGGAGAACTCTGATTTCTTGGCTATTAAGTTCTTTTCAAGAGAAGTGATACAAACTCACTTTCTGCCTCTTAATGTTCTTAAGAGAAAGACTCCATTTATTTGCACCAGGTATTTTTAGGTTTTTAGAGAAAAGGTTTATCAGCTGGCAGAAATTAATAAATTCAAGAGAGGTGAAAATTATTTCAAATATCCTTTAACTAAATGGCAAAATTTTAACAAAAGGCCTTTGGAAAGTTATTCTATCCTCTCTCACTGTTCTTCTGTGATGTGTGTATTTTCTGCTGGTGGATCATACTTTTCAAGTACATGTAGACCCCAGGTTGCATGGGTAGTGGAAGTCAGATGCAAATCTTTGTTTATTTGTAAGACACTAAAAACATGTTAAATGTCCTAGCTTCTAGTCACTTGTAAGTAGTAGAAATCAAGAATAACTAATCTTTTTTGTTCGTTTGCCTTATCTGCTCCAAATTTCACTGCCAAGTAGGTGTTTATGGTTCAATTATAAATCACTAAAATAAAGGACCAGGCTTGTAAGAGTCCCCTAGTGAACAAGGAAGTCTAAAGCATTAAAAATCCAGCATTAATATAAACGCTGTTTTTTAATGAGGCAAAACCTAATCAATATCCTCTTTAAAAAGTAAGAGTCAGTACGCACAAGGAAAGAAGTTTTTCATAATAATGAGTGAATTTCACCTGATATTTAACTTGCAGTCATTATAACAGAACACTCTTCAGCTTACATATCATTATTAGAAATGTTGATTAGTCCATCTAATTATAGCTCTCTTCCTATGTAAGTGTCAAGATGAGAAAAATCCATGCCTTTACAGACGGTTTGTGTAAGGTCCATACTTCAGTTAAGCCCTGTATATTGAAGTACTTAGTAAGCTTTGTGCCCAGTGTGACCAATTTTGGTTGAGACAAAATGAGTGAGAAAAGGACTAATCCATCTTGCCTTGTCATAAGGAAAAATGCCTTTCACTTGCAAATAGTGACCCCCTTTCAGCAAATCTTCCTCTGACGGATAACCTTTCCTTTAGATGGACAGGAGTCAAGCTTTTAGTGTGGCACCTGTGCCAGGATACCATTGGAAAGACTTTTACGTTCAGGGGGGCAATCCAGGTTACTGTGTTGCTTCGATGAGTCATTTCAATTAAGAATTCAATTAGTGCTCCACCCTTGAACACATAATCCACTTCTGCATTTCCTAGAATTCTGGGTAATATTTCAGCACATGGCAGTAAACTGGATAAACAATTGAATTACTGAAACACTGAGCACACTTTTTCCTTTGGATATTTGTATCTATTCTTCCTTTCAAAATTTTCTTAAAACACACCTGCCTATAAAATTTATTGGACCTCACATCCAGATAGGTTTTCACAGTCTCCTGTCACAGAGGAGCTGTTGTACTAAGAAGGCAAATATTCCTGCCACTGTTCAGGATGGGAGCACATGTAAAAGGCAAGTTGTTTTAACCATGGAATATTAATCATATATCAGAAATCCTAATTATAATAAGCTTGGTTATTTCACATAAATGAAGTAAAAGAAAACCAAGAAATGAAAGAGGGGGAGGTTTAAAAAGATAAAATAGTGAGGAAAAAAAAAAAAAGAAAAAATACCACAAAGCTCTTTATATATGGGTTCAAGGAGAAACTGGACGTGCTCATGGAAAGGAAGCGCACTGAAGTTTATTAAAATAGAGAAACCACTCTGGTTCATGACATTCCTAAACAAGGTGGAGGCTGGAAGAGCCTAATACAGTTTACCCTAGAATCCCCTGATTCTTCAGTACTTGAGTTACCAACCTCAATATGTCACTTCGTAAAGCAAAATAGAAAGCAAAAGGCATGCATCTTTTATTTGGAAGGAATAGAACATGAAGATTTCTGGCATTTCCATTACTGCCAAATAGCGTGCTTACAATAATATATTCCACTTCAGTAGCAGCATATGAAACAAAAACAAAACTTCAAGATTTTAGACAAATATGGAGTGTTGTGATCAAAGACAGCCAGTGGATGGCAGTGCTAAAGTACTGAATTCATCGTTCTGTTACTATTTATTATTTGCCCTGCTGCAGGCTCTAGCCGAGGAAGGGAACAGAGTCATGCTCAGTTCTTTGCAAACCCAAGATGAAAAGATGGACTCTGCCACAAACAACTTAAAGTTGAAGCATAAGATGTTAACCAAGAGACTAATACAGTCAGATACTGTTCCCAGGAGAAGGTACAACATGAGTCCCTATGCCCAAAGTACTAAACCTCACAGAGCAACCACAGGGAGTTTGATTCAGTGAGTTGAGATGGAAAGTAACAGAAACAAGGGCAGAGAAGGGGGAGGTGGAAAGTTTTTTAAAGTCAGAAAGACTAAAGTATATTTTAAAGTGAGGAGCCAGATTAGCTAAGGAAAAGAATAAAAGACAGGATGAGTGCAAGGCTGCTCAGATGAGAAAAGGTTAGTGGGACAAATGTGGGTGCAGTTATGGCACTGAACGAGGCAGAAAAAGCATCTGTATGGTAAGAAAGGAAAAGCAAATAAATTTGTCAATTTTCAATTATCTCTTGGAAGAAATAGCATGGTCCTAGAGAGGGAAAAAAGCAGAACATGGAGATGATATGAGGAGATGAGAAAAAGCCATTCAAGGTTGTGAACTGGAGAGGCAGGTGGTTTAGACAGGAACATGCAACATCCAAGGCAGAAGAGCACAGATGCGTTGTGAAGCCTGGCTATGGGATTTCCAGCAGAGAGATGAGGATGTGCAAGAGAAAGAGAAGTGAATGAGCAAGCCAGTAAGGATCAGTGAGCTAATATGAGGAATTACAGGGCAGGATCTGTGATGACAGACCGGAGAACAATTTTAAAGAGAAGGAGAATAAAGAATGGATAATTGAAAAAAAAAAAATTCCTCAACAGCACAGTTGCGACACTGGGAAAAAAGGGAACAGAAGCCAGCTGAAAGATGAGAGAAGTCATCAGTGTTGCACTGGAAGAATTGTCAGGTTTACATCTGAAGGCATGAGTGAAGCAGGGAGCTCTGAATGTGGATGTCTTGCAGAGGTGGCCTGATTACTTAATAGTCACCTGTTTGAACTGCTGCTGCTGCTCAGAGCTTGCAAATGCGGACAGAGGCAGCAGTGGTAACACTTTTTATGTCTTTCTTGCTAAGGGATCACTGCTCTGATTAACGGAGCATGAGATTGAATTTGTAGAGAATCTCCATTTTAGCAAAAACCAGGTCTCTAACCAGGTTAAATAATGGATTCTTCAGTTAAATCATTAGCACTTTCACGAACACTAGAAAGAAGCCAATAAATATTGCAGTCCACTAGCTAGGGCACAGCCCATGTTTTAACTGCCACTCTAAAGGGAGAAAAGCTTGTGTAGTCCCCCTGTGATCCTGAAGAAGCAGACCAGGGTGTAGCAGACCAGACCAGAGGACCAAGATGCCCTCAGTACAGAAGTCTGTCTGAGCTCCACTATGTCTTCTGAATGTATCTTGGGGAAAAGGTATGTGACAATAAGCACTGCTTAAGTCTACCCTTTTCCCATTTCCACAAGGTCACAGTACACAGCTCAGCGGCAACATCCGTCTTTCCAGGTCTTGGCCAACTTGAACCTCACTAAGTAAAAAAGTATCTGGTGTAGGGAGTTTTATGGGCTTCTTTAGAGAGGCTCAGCACTGCTTCCTCAATCAGGTGAAAGATCAATTTAAGCTCTAATTAATATAATTACAGAAAATTCACTAATTTCTATTAAACCTTGCTTCTGTCTTTTAAGCACCAGAACCCAGCTAGGGAACACTGACCATAGGGAACTGCAAGGTCATTGGCCTGGTTGATCTGCTAAATGGTCACCAGTACACCCACTCCTCAAACTGGCCAGCCTACTGCTATTCTGCCAATACAGTCTGTAGACAGTAACATCCCTCTGCTGCTGTCCCTGGTAAAACAAACATCAAGAGGATGCAGTTTACTCCAGGACTTTTCCCCTATAAATACAGTATTGTCCTGCCTTCTCTTAGAGGACGTGCTGCTTTGTAGACTGTATTTGAATGTATCTGTAAACCTTGGCTCCACGTTTACAAAAAAAAAAAAAAAAAAAAAAAGACAAATATCCTCTCTTTGAATAATAAAACTCGAATGTGGACTACTTTGGAACAAAAAGAGCCTCTGTAGTCTGACAAACATGGATACTGACATACAGAGATTTGGGTTGTTTTGTCAGGATGAATTATCCCCTTCTTCAACAGCTGGAGAAATAGTTGTGGGTTTTTTAATTTGTGGGGGTATTTTTTCCCAAAATAAAGCCAAAATAATCTGTATTTTGCAAAGAATAAAGAGTAACAGAATTATTCTGGCTGCAAAAATTACCTTAAATAAAGGGAAATTCCAAGGTAGGGAGTTCCCTTATTTGTCAGTGTCTGGTCCTGACCTGAAGCTGCAAACGGGCGGATTTTCTCATTCAGAACAGGAAGCCAGATTACTAGTGATACAGCTTGTTCTTCTGTTTCTGAGCCAGGAAGGCCTGGATTTATTAATAAAATGCTGTGAGTATGTATCTGAAGTTACAGAGAAAAAAAACCTTTTCCCTGAAAGGTTCTGGCCAAGACTCGAGGAGAGCAGAAAAGACATGCAGTTACTGAGCAGAGTAATTGCACCTCAGTTTAACAAATTAGAAATAATTGTCTTTCTTTCCAGATAAACTGCTGTTGAAATTCCTTAT